AAATGGAGGTAAACAGAAAGAAAGAAAAGAAAGAAAATGTAAAAGAGGAAAAGAGAAAGAAAGAAGAAAGAATGTAAAAAAGAAACGAATTAGAAAGAAAGAAGAAAGAATGTAAAAGAGAAACGATGGAGAAAGAAAGAAGAAACAATGTAAATGAGAAAAGAAGGAGAAAGAAAGAAAGAAGAAAGAATGTAAAAGAGAAATGAAGGAGAAAGAAAGAAAGAAGAAAGAATGTTTAAGAGAAATGAATGTTTAAGGAGAAAGCAAAAGAAGAAAGAATGTAAAAGAGAAACTGACTATTCAATTTCAAAAAAAAGTAAGAAGAAAGAATCGAGAAAATGAAGGAAGAAGAAGAAAGAATGAAAAAGAGAAATAAAGGTAAAAGAAAGAAGGAGAAAAAGAAAAGAAAGAATTCCTTTAAAAGAAAAATGATGAAAACGAAGGCATGTAAAAGAAAGAAAGAAGAAAGAATGCAAGAGAAAACGAATATTAAAAGAGAAATGAGTTTATATTTAATCTGAAAGAAGAAGAAATGGAAATGCAAGAAATTACGAAGAATATTAAAAGAATGAAGGAAAAAAAACATGGAATGTAAAAGAGAAATGAAAGAGAAAGTGAAGTAATGGAAAAGAAAGAACTATTTAAATGATTAAGAAGGAGAAAGAAAAGAATCCGGTGTTAGAAAAAGAAAGAATAAATGAGAACGAAGGCTAAGAACAAGAAAAAATTAAATGAGAAATAAGTTGTAAAAGAGAAATAGAATAAAATAAAACAGGGGGAATGAAGTTTTGAGTTTAAAAAGAGAAATGATCTCAAAGATTTCAAAATATAAAAATTGAAAAATTGAAAAAAAAGAAGAAGAATTGAAAGAAGTAAAATTATCGAAGGCCAAAAAAGAGAATCGGTGATAATCGAGAAAAAGAAAGAAAAAAAAGAATGAAAAAAAATGAGAAAAGAAACATTTTCGGAAGGTCAAATACAAGTTTCTAAGAAAAAGAAAAGAAAAATGGAAAGTCAAAATGCGAAAATGAAATATAAGGAATAAAAAGACCAAAACGTTTATTTGAAAAAAGATACAAAATCCAAAAAAATATACGTTAAAAGAAAGCATCTAACCCTTAATAAAAAAAAATTATTAAATTATTAATAATAATAATAATAATAATGTTGATTTTTAAAAGGTAAATAAAAATAAAATGAGCAGAGAAAGAAACGCTGATGTTCTGTGTTCCATCCTGATTAAAAGTTGCAATGCAGATTTTAATGACAGCAAAGCAATAAGGAAATAAAAAAATTAAGAATAAAAAAAATGAAATAATGAAATACAAACGGAAGAAAGGTGAAGGGCATAATGAAGAAATGTGAAGAAGAATACAACAAAAGGAGAAAAAAGAAAGATAGAAAGAAGGAAACAACAAAAAAAGAAGGAAAACGAACAATAAGAAAGAAAGACGAAAAAAAAAAAGAAGGAAGAAATATGGAAAAAAGAGTGCAGAAAGTAGGAGTGCCATCAATACATAAATGTATTTGGTTGAATTTTCCTATTTTCGTTGGCACGATTTTTCTCAAAGGACACGAAATGAAAACCTGCCGTGATTTGAACAACATTGCTAAAGTTCATCTACAAACGATCGTGTTTTCCCAAGACCATCATTGTGTTCAAGTGTTTTTCAAAATATTATTGCTTTGCCTGAATTCAAAATCTTGTGGAAAACGATAATTTCCATTCTTTGATGAAAAATTTCTATTGCTTTTGCCTGACAGTGGAAACTTTACTTAAGGAAAAAACCCAAAATTGTAATGCAACCAAAGAAAATTTTTAATGATAATAGCTTATGAAAATGATGGTAAAATCACTTATTTTTTTATATTAAATGTTCTATATTTCTCCCAAAAGAAACGATTAGAAGTTTAATCAAAAAGAAAAATTCAAAAGTGGATAAGTATTTATCGAACCAAAACCAGAATTTAATGATTACATGAAGAAGGTGTTTTTTATTTAAAAATATCTTTGGAAAAAATTCAAAATCAGTATAGTAAAAGGTGTCAAAATCAAAATCCATTTTGATTAGCACTAAAAAAAAATTGAAAATGTTCTGGGGAATTTTCTGAAGTCTTTTGTTTGAACTATTGGAACTTTGAAGCTTCATGTGTTAAACCTATTGAAATTTCCCTGACTTGGTACCCTCCAGAGAAAAATATGTGTCTGCTAAATAGCGTGATGTAATTGAAATTACGAGAATCTTTTTGTTCAGCTTTCCCTTCTGCTTTGTAAAAAAAATAAAATAGGTTTTTACCAAATGTTCTCTTTTGAAAACGGAACTTGAGCTAAATTCAAAGGATAATATAAAATCTGAAACCACAGATTAAAAGCCTTTGAATCTGACAAATCAGAGCATCCGTTCGATAATGTTCTGGGGATGCTTTTCTTTCATGGAACTGGTTTCTTTAAACCTATTGAAAGACCTCAGAGCGAGCAGTAAAAGAGAATTATGTCTGCTCCCTCTGCTGAAAAGGTCCACCAAGCTTCTTTTTATGTGATAATGCTTCCTGCTCAAATCAAAATTGATAAACTCAACCCCCCATCTTTCTGACCTCAAAAAAACTTATGGGAGCATGTTGCTCAACTGCTTTTCGAGAGCCTGTGCTTTATAATGCGAATAAGTTTTTCTGTGGGTTGAGGTTAGAAAAAGGCGGCCAGTCAAAAAATAATTTTTCAATTTTTGAGTTTAGTTAAAATTCTAAAAATAGCGTTTCAAAACACCAAAGCTTACCGAGGGAATATAAAGTAACGGCGGTATCAAGGGAAAAACCGTCCTTTTGACATACCGTTTTTCGGGGGTGAGGGTTTCTGGTACGACTTTAAAGTCTGCGTTAGTTGAATTCCGACTGGGTACTTTTCTATCGTGAACTTGTGGCAGGCTATGTTTAAATGTTTTCTTTTTTCTTTTTTAAACTGAAAACTCCTGCTTTAGAGTGATAGCCAACTGGTTGGTAATACAGTCTTCACTCGGTATTCTATAATTATGGAGTTGTGCCAGACTTACGACAAGAGGAGACTCTCTGCTCTCTTTTTCACTTCTCAGTTAATTTACCATTAATCTATTCCCTCGCCATCGTCTTCTTTGTTTCCACGAGGCAGCCAAAATAACCTTGCTTTCACGCGCCAAAACTGACATCAAAAGTCTCGTCACGTGTCCAGTTCACTTCCGGCTGGCGCCATCTATCAGGAAAGCAAAGCTGCTACTAAAACATTTTTCTTGCCCTTCGACCAAAATTTCCACTAGCGAATCTATTCCGAGAGAACACGTTTCCGATTAAATCCACCGCGCTTAAAAGGGGCAAAAAGATGGCTGCCATCTATTTTTATTAAAAAAAAAAGCTGTTATAGAAACTGCTTTTTGCATTCATGTTTCAATATAATTATCATTTATTCTTACCATCATCATCATTGTCGTAATTATTATTGCTATATATTTTAAATATATTACGTATAAATTTACTATATGAATGTCAAAATCCCATTCGAATTATATTCTATTTTCCAAATCTGGTTTCCTGGACGGGTTGAATGATCTATTCGATTTGATTTCATTCTATACTTTAGATCTGGACATCTGGCATCGATTGTGTGATCGTTTAAATTTGAAAATCACATATTTAAAGATTTATTATCCAGATGTGAACATCTACCCTGGAATGTAGAACCCGGATGAATTTTAGAATCGCCCATATTTTATTTGTCGATCTTTGTTTTTCCATAACTAAAACGTGACATACTCAATTCTTTAAATATGTTCATATGGACGACAATACAGTTTCTGTTTTTAATTTCAAATTAATACATGCATTAAAATGTATTAAAATACATGCTGTCAAATATATATATATATATATATATATATATATATATATATATATATACACTTTTCTTTTTACGCTTTCTTCTTTACACTTTTCTTTACGCTCTTTATACTTTTCTCTTTACGCTTTTCTCTTTAGACTTCTCTTTACGCTTTTTTCTGTACACTTTTCTCTTTACGCTCTTCTCTTTACACTTTTTTCTTTACGCTTTTCTCTTTACACTTTTCTCTTTACGCCTTTTTCTTTACACATTTCTCTGCACGCTCTTCTCCTTACACTTTTCTCTTTAGACTTTTCTCTTTAGACTTTTCTCTTTAGACTTTTCTCTATACGTTTTTTTCTTTACGCTCTTTATACTTTTCTCTTTACGCTTTTCTCTTTAGACTTTTCTCTTTACGCTTTTTTATTTACACTTTTCTCTTTAGACTTTTCTCTTTAGACTTCTCTTGACGCTTTTTTCTTTTACGCTGCACGCTCTTCTATTTACACTTTTCTCTCTAGTCTTTTCTCTTTACGCTTTTTTCTTTACACTTTTCTATTTACGCTTTTCTCTTTACACTTTTCCATTTACACTTTTATCTTTAGACTTTTCTCCTTACGCTTTTTTCTTTACACTTTTCTCTTTACGCACTTGTCTTTCGACTTCTCGTTACGCTTTTTCTTTACACTTTTCTCTTTACGCTCTCCTATTTACACTTTTCTCTTTACGCTTTTCTCTTTAGGCATCACTTCCCGCTTTTTTCTTTACGCTTTTCTCGGCACGCTCTTCTTTTGACACTTTCCTTTAAACTCTTTAGACATTTCTCTTTACGCTTTTTTCTTTACACTTTTCTCTTTACGCTTTCCTCCTTAGACTTTTTATCTTTAACTTTTTCTTTACACTTTTCTCTTTTCGCTCTTCTCTTTACTTTTTCTCATTACGGACTTATGTTTACGCTTTTTTCTTTACACGTTTCTCTACACGCTCTTCTCTTTACGCTTTTTTCTTTACACTTTTCTCTTTACGCTCTTTATACTTTTCTCTTTACGCATTTTTCTTTACACTTTTCTCTTTAGACTTTTCTATTTAGACTTTTCTCTTTACGCTTTTTTCTTTACACTTTTCTCTTTACGCTCTTCTCTTTAGACTTCTAGCTATGCTTTTTCTTTACACTTTTCTCTTTACGCTCTTATCTTTACAGTTTTCTCCTTACGCTCTTCTCTTTACGCTTATCTCTTTAGACTTCTCTTCACGCTATTTTCTTTATACTTTCCTCGGCACGCTCTTCTCTTTACACTTTTCTCTTTACACTTTTCTCTTTACGCTTTTCTCTTTAGACTTCTCTTTACGCTTTTTTCTTTACACGTTTCTCTGCACGCTCTTCTCTTTACACTTTTCTCTTTAGACTTTTCTCTTTACGCTTTTCTCTTTAGACTTTTCTCTTTAAGCTTTTTTATTTACACTTTTCTCTTTAGACTTTTCTCTTTAGACTTCTCTTGACGCTTTTTTCTTTACACGTTTCGCTGCACGCTCTTCTATTTACACTTTTCTCTCTAGTCTTTTCTCTTTACGCTTTTTTCTTTACACTTTTCTATTTACGCTTTTCTCTTTACACTTTTCCATTTACACTTTTCTCTTTAGACTTTTCTCTTTACGCTTTTTTCTTTACACTTTTCTCTTTACGCTTTTTTATTTACACTTTTCTCTTTACGCACTTGTCTTTCGACTTCTCGTTACGCTTTTTCTTTACACTTTTCTCTTTACGCTCTCCTATTTACACTTTTCTGTTTACGCTTTTCTCTTGAGGCATCACTTCCCGCTTTTTTCTTTACGCTTTTCTCGGCACGCTCTTCTTTTGACACTTTCCCTTTACACTTTTCTCTTTAGACATTTCTCTTTACGCTTTTTTCTTTACACTTTTCTCTTTACGCTTTCCTCCTTAGACTTTTATCTTTAAGCTTTTTTCTTTACACTTTTCTCTTTTCGCTCTTCTCTTTACACTTTTCTCATTACGCTTTTCTCTTTAGACTTATGTTTACGCTTTTTTCTTTACACGTTTCTCTACACGCTCTTCTCTTTACGCTTTTTTCTTTACACTTTTCTCTTTACGCTCTTTATACTTTTCTCTTTACGCATTTTTCTTTTACACTTTCTTTTGGACTTTTCTATTTAGACTTTTCTCTTTACGCTTTTTTTTTTTTTCTTTTCTCTTTTCGCTCTTCTTCTTTTTAGACTTCTAGCTATGCTTTTTTTTCTTTACACTTTTCTCTTTTACGCTCTTATCTTTACAGTTTTCTCCTTACGCTCTTCTCTTTACGCTTATCTCTTTAGACTTCTCTTCACGCTATTTTCTTTTTTATACTTTCCTCCTTTTGCTCTTCTCTTTACACTTTTTCTCTTTACACTTTCTCTTTACCTTTTCTCTTTAGACTTCTCTTTACGCTTTTTTCTTTACACGTTTCTCTGCACGCTCTTCTCTTTACACTTTTCTCTTTAGACTTTTCACTTTAGTCTTTTCTCTATACGATTTTTTCTTTACACTTTTCTATGCACGCTCTTCTATTTACACTTTTCTCTTTAGTCTTTTCTCTTTACGCTTTTTTCTTTACACTTTTCTCTTTACGCTCTTCTCTTTACGCTTTTTTCTTTACGCTTTTTTCTTTACGCTTTTCTCGCCACGCTCTTCTCTTTACACTTTGCTCTTTACGCCTTTCTCTTTGCACATTTCTCTGTAGTCTTTTCTCTTCACGCTTTTTTCTTTACACTTTTCTCATTTTGCACTTCTTTTAAACTTTTCTCTTTACGCTTTTCTCTCTAGTCTTTTCTCTTTACGCTCTTCTCTTGACACTTTTCCCTTTCCACTTTTCTCTTTCCACTTTTCTCTTTAGACATTTCTCTTTACGCTTTTTTCTTTACACTTTTCTTTTTATGCTCTTCTCTTTACGCTCTTCTCTTTACGCTTATCTCTTTAGACTTCTCTTCACGCTATTTTCTTTATACTTTTCTCGGCACGCTCTTCTCTTTACAATTTTCTCTTTACACTTTTCTCTTTACGCTTTTTTCTTTACACGTTTCTCTGCACGCTCTTCTCTTTACAATTTTCTCTTTACGCTTTTCTCCTTAGACTCCTCTTTTTATATTTACACTTTTCTCTGCACGCTATCCTATTTGCACTATTCTCTCTAGTCTTTTCTCTTTACGCTTTTTTCTTTACACTTTTCTCTTTACGCTCTTCTCTTTACACTTTTCCCTTTACACTTTTCTCTTTAGACTTTTCTCTTTACGCTTTTTTCTTTACACTTTTCTCTTTACGCTCTTTACTTTACACTTTTCCCTTTACACTTTTCTCTTTAGACTTTTCTCTTTACGCTCTTAGCTTTACAGTTTTCTCTTTAGACTTCTCTTCACGGTATTTTCTTTATACTTTTCTCGGCACGCTCTTCTCTTTACACTTTTCTCTTTACGCTTTTTTCTTTACACTTTTCTCTTTAGACATTTCTCTTTACGCTTTTTTCTTTACACTTTTCTCTTTACGCACTTCTCTTTAGACTTTTCTCTTTACGCTTTTTCCTTTACGCTTTTCTCGCCACGCTCTTCTCTTTACACTTTTCTCTTTACGCTTTTCTCTTTACACATTTCTCTGTAGTCTTTTCTCTTCACGCTTTTTTCTTTACACTTTTCTCGGCACGCACTTCTCTTTACACTTTTCTCTTTACACTTTTCTCGTTACGCTTTTTTCTTTACACTTTTCTCTTTACGCTTTTCTCTTTAGACTTTTCTCTATACGCTTTTTTCTTTACACTTTTTTTATGCTTTTCTCGTTACGCTTTTTTCTTTACACTTTTCTCTTTGCGCTTTTCTCTTTAGACTTCTCTTTACGCCTTTTTCTTTAAACGTTTCTCTGCATGCTGTTCTCCTTAGACTTTTCTCTTTATGCTCTTCTCTTTACGCTTATCTCTTTAGACTTCTCTTCACGCTTATCTCTTTAGACTTCTCTTCACGCTATTTTCTTTATACTTTTCTCGGCACGCTCTTCTCTTTACACTTTTCTCTTTACACTTTTCTCTTTACGCTTTTTTCTTTACACTTTTCTCTTTACACTTTTCTCTTCACGCTCTTCTCTTTACACTTTTCTCTTTACACTTTTCTATTTACGCTTTTCCCTCTAATCTTTTCTCTTTACGCTTTTCCCTCTAATCTTTTCTCTTTACGCTTTTTCCTTTACACTTTTCTCTTTACGCTCTTCTCTTTATACTTTTCCCTTTACACTTTTCTCTTTAGACTTTTCTCCTTACGCTTTTTTCTTTACACTTTTCCCTTTACGCTTCTCCCGTTAGACTTTTCTCTTTACGCTTTTTTCTTTACACTTTTCTCCTTACGCTCTTCTCTTTAGACTTCTCGTTACGCTTTTTCTTTACACTTTTCTCTTTACGCTCTTCTCTTTAGACTTCTAGCTATGCTTTTTCTTTACACTTTTCTCTTTACGCTCTTATCTTTACAGTTTTCTCTTTACGCTCTTCTCTTTACGCTTATCTCTTTAGACTTCTCTTCACGCTATTTTCTTTATACTTTTCTCGGCACGCTCTTCTCTTTACACTTTTCTCTTTACACTTCTCTCTTTACGCTTTTTTCTTTACACTTTTCTCTTTAGACTTTTCTCTTCACGCTTTTTTCTTTACACTTTTCTCTTTGCGCACTTCTCTTTAGACTTCTCGTTACGGTTTTTTCTTTAAAAAAAAAACACATTTCTCTGTAGTCTTTTCTCTGCACTTTTTCTTTACTTTTCTCGGCAACTCTCTACTCTTTACGTTTTCTTTATACTTTTATCTTTAGTCTTTTCTCGTTACGCTTTTTTCTTTATTTTCTTTTTACTCTTCTCTCTTTACATTTCTCTTTTCTTTTCTCTTTAGATTTCTTTCACCTTTTTCTTTATTTTCTCTTTAATTTTCTTTTACGCTTTTTTTTTCTTTACACTTTTTCTCTTTAGACTTCTCTTTACGCTTTTTTCTTTACACGTTTCTCTGCACACTCTTCTCTTTACACTCTTCTCTTTACACTTTTCTCTTTACTCTTTTTTCTTTACACTTTTCTATTTACGCTTTTCTCTTTAGACTTCTCTTCACGCTTTATTCTTTACACATTTCCCGGCACGCTCTTCTCTTTACACTTTTCAACTACACTTTCCTCTTTAGACTTTTCTCTTTACGCTTTTTTCTTTACACTTTTCTATTTACCCTCTTCTCTTTACTCTTATTCTTTTACGCTTTTCTGTTTAGGCTTTTCTCTTTACGCTTTTTTCTTTACACTTTTCTATTTACCCTCTTCTCTTTACTCTTATTCTTTTACGCTTTTCTGTTTAGGCTTTTCTCTTTACGGTTTTTCTTTACACTCTTCTCTTTACGCTTTTCTATGAAACTTTTCCCTTTACACTTCTCTCTTTAGACATTTCTCTTTACGCTTTTTCTTTACACTTTTCTCTTTACACTTTTCGATTTAGACTTCTCTACACTCTTTTTTCTTTACACATTTCCCGGCACGCTCGTCTCTTTAGACTTTTCCCTTTACACTTTTCTCTTTAGTCTTTTCTCTTTACGCTCTTCTCTTTACACTTTTCTCTTACACTTTCCTATTTAGTCTTTTCTCTTTACGCTTTTTCTTTACACTTTTCTCTTTACACTCTTCTCTTTAGACTTCTCTTTACGCTTTTTTCTTTACAATTTTCTCTTTAGTCGCTTCTCTTTCGCTTTTTTCTTTATACTTTTCTCTTTACTCACTTCTCTTTACACTTTTCTCTTTACACTTTTCTCTTTACAATTTTTCTTTACATTTTTCTGTTTAGACTTTTCTCTTTACGCTTTGTTCTTTAAACTTTTCTCTTTACGCTTTTTTTCTTTAGACATCTCGTTACGCTTTCTTCTTTACACTTTTCTCTTTACGCTCTTCCCTTTACACTTTTCTCTTTACGCTTTTCTCTTTAGACTTCTCTTTACGCTTTTTTCTTTAGGCTTTTTTCTTTAGGCTTTTTTTCCTTACACTTTTCTCTTTACCCTCTTCTCTTTACACTTTTCTCTTTACGCTTTTTTATTTACACTTTTCTCTTTACGCTCTTTACATTTTTCACTTTACGCTCTTCTCTTTACGCTTTTTTATTTACACTGTTCTCTTTACACTTTTCTCTTTACACTTTTTTCTTTACACTTTTCTCTTTATGCTCTTGTCTTTATACTTTTCTCTTACGCTCTTCTCTTTACACTATTCTCTTTTCACTTTTCTCTTTAGACTTTTCTCCTTACGCTTTTTTCATTACACTTTTCTCTTTACTCTCTTCTCTTTACACTTTTCTCTTTAGACTTTTCTCTTTAGACATTTTTCTTTAAACTTTTCTCTTTACGCTCCTCTCTTTACACTTTTCTCTTTACGCTTTTTTCTTTACACTTTTCTCTTTACACTTTTCTCTTTACACTTTTGTCTGTACACTTTTCTCTTTACGCTTTTTTCTTTACACTTTTCTCTTTACGCTTTTCTGTTTTCGCTTTTCTCTTTACACTTTTCTCTTGTTGAAACAACTATAACCCCCCCTTTATGTCTGTGTGCATGTTTGTGTCTGGGATTTTGAAATTCAAACAAATCCCAGATCTCTTCTCCAGATTTAATCATTTGGCTACATCATTGTGTGATAGGAAGTCACAAACCAATCGCCAGGTAAGCGAAAACTCATGGTTTATGAGATAATTCGACACTGGTCACCAAGACCAGAAAGAGTTCAAGACCGATACTGACAAATTTAGCCAACCACAGAGAAGATATTTCGCGATCACCTCCACTAATTCCCGATACACGATTCTCCTAGGCTTGAAAGGTTGCTGGATCGAGTAATGATCCTCAAGGCCGCACGACATTCTCCGAGGAAACTCAACTGACCTTATGTTTGCGGCCACCTCACAAGAGTGAGGAGAG